CCAATGACATTTAGATCTGCAACTTGATAACTAAATATAATTAATATCCTTTCTGATGAATGTTGAAACCACGATTACAACTGTCGTTTCATTTTATCAGATTTTTTTTTTTTTGGTCAGCTCAGTACACACTGGATTAATGGAAGGGATTGGCAGTCAGAAAGAATGATTACACAAAACATTTAGGCATCTTTGTTTATTAATATATCCCAATGCTTTTTCTTGCTTATGATTTCGAGATTGGAATTCCAGATAAAGCACATCTATACTTGCAGCCAAGTTTACTTTACAAAAGTGTTAACAAGAAGCAAATTCAATGAGTTTGAGGGAATAGTTATTTGGATGAGGGAATTAAAGATTGGGTAAGGGATCTGGCTCTCTTCCTCTGGATTTTCTTTAAGAAGGACATTATTGCATGGACAGACAATTCCCAGAATTTAAAGAATAATCCGTAGCTTCCAATGGCCAAATAGTTGTCATACCAGTTTCTTCTGTGGTCACCATTGTTTGAATACTAACAGGCTTCCATTTTTTCTCTCTCAGGTGGGAAAGAGACCCAAACACTTCAGGATCAAACAATAAGATAGATAGGGTAGAATTTTTATTTGTCAATAGCTCTTATTATTTTGGTCACTCAGAGGATAATGCTTCTTCTGTAACAAAGTATGCATACTCGTTCAAAGGCAAAATAACACATCTTTGGACAAACATTTCATATGTTAAATAATTGTGACTTTTTGAGGTCACAGACCTGTATGAACCCCAGTAACTTTAGTTACTTTGTATAATTTGGCAATTTACTCTTTTTCATTTTAATAATGCCTTTGCTCAACAACAGTATCTTTTTAAAAGTTATTTCTAACATTATCCTCTAACACTGTTGTTCATTCAGTCATGCCCAAGTCTTCATGATCCCATGGACTGCAGCATGTCAGTCCCTTCTATCTTCTATGATTTCCTGAAGTCTATCCAAGTTCATATTTGTTCCTTCCTAGTGGGTTTCATTTTCTACTTATTGAAAAATCTCAACAACCAAAACAGTGCTCTTTCTAGAGGATGCTCTTTTGTCTGTTTCTATTAGTACTGGTAAATATTGTTTTCAAAACCAGGCAGAAAACAGACTGGTTCTGGGGATCCTTTTTTGGGAAGAATTATTGTGGGTCTTTATAAAATATATACATATAAAAGAGACTAATGGATTGAGCTTTTATTTATAGCATCATTAGGTAAAGCCATTTTCAAAAATGAAATTTTCATTACTGATATTTCATTTGGAAAATTTGTTTACTCTTCCCTGGGGATTCCATATTATTGGTTGATTTATAAATTGTATTTACAATCTCATTAAATGGAATAATTTAGTGCATTTATTTTTATTTTATTTATGATGTACATTTAGGAGTCTTTAGTTAACCTAAGTATAGCTTTTCAGATTGGTTATACACCCTTCATTGAAAACATTAAGTGCATTCTGGAAGTCTAGACCCATGTGCTGATTTAGTGGGAAGAATAAACAAATAGAGTGGCTACCTGTAGTATTGCTTTCTTTGCTGTGGAAAATTTTACTCCTTCAGTGGCTGTTTCATAAATATCAATTGACTTTGTCTTGTGGAGACCTGTGGTTTTCAGCAGTGGCACTTTCTAAATTAATAGTGAGAAAATTGAAGTGTTTATGGAGTTTCCAGAGTGAATGTATAATGAAGGTGGCAGGGGACAAGCTCACTTTAATGTTCAGAATCTGGGCCCTCATCTCTCCAACTCTAAGTTTATAAAGTTAAGAATGTGTTTAAAAAAAAATAATACTTTCTCAAAGTGAGGTCATTCTTTAGCTTAACCAAAAACAAAGACTTTCTGGATAACCATTTAAAGGAATATTTTATTGTTCTGGGTGTTAGAGAAAGTCATTTAGCCTTTCTGTGCTGCTGTTAAAGGAAGATGACAAGTTTAACTTCTCTCATAGGGGTTTTGGGAGGAGTACATAATAAAAATGACTCTAAAATCTCTAGCAAATTTTAAAGTGCTATAAAGTGTTTAATAATAATGAGATTCCTAACAAACACCAAGTTTGGGGCCCTGAAGATGCAGAAATTGAGTTGACATGAAAAAAGGAAGGAAATTAGCAGCATACCTACCCTGAGCTAGTAAATCTAGTCATGAAGGGTTGCACCTGAAGGTAATATTGGCTAGATTCCAGTCTTCCACATCCCCTAGGTTCTGAAAGTATTCTATGGAATAAGAATCTGATCCAGCATTGTTTTCCAGAGAAGCTCAGAATGAAGTTTTTCTTCAGAGAGAAACCTTGGTGTATTTAGTGAGTTGTGGGCACTAGAACAAAATATGACTGGAAAAGTTTCAATAGAGAACAGAGGGGAAGACAATAATGGTGGGTAAGGAGACATAAGGCGCAAGGGAAATGATTAACATTGAGAAAGTAGGGAGGATGCAATTTTAACAAAAGCAGAAATTTCAGTAAAAAAGTTTGTCATATAGACAAACTGTTGGTAAAAAAAAAAGTAGGGAGAAAAAGCAATAGTTAGAAAATGGATGTTGTGAAGGCGGGAAATAGAATTCCTCCACCTAATTACTTTTATTCATTGAAAAATTAAAAGGTTTGAAGGTGAATGTAGTTTTTCCCTTTACGAAAGTTTTTTTTTTGATGAGTTTTAGCATATGCTAACTATTTGATGCAGCTATTATTGCAAATACAATGATAAGCGTTTTCATTTTGTGAAAATAAAAGCAATTCTAAGCTTTTCAAAGTTGAGAAGGGTGCTATATGTTACTCATTTCCCCACAGGAAATAGGATTTCTTGTTTATTATCAGAATACAAAGCACCAATAGTTTAAGTTTCTATCTTTGCTAAGGAATACCTCTAGAACTGAAACGTGAAATTCAGTGCTTACCATTCATAGTAGCCACATAGAAGACTAACTACAGATGTGAAAAGCTTTCAAAAAAGGAACAGAATTCACCTTCAGCAACTAATTTCTCCTAGTCTATTGGAAACTCCTCAAAAATGTCTTAAAACATCCTTCAATTTATTATTAGATAGGTCAAGTCACTCAGCAATCTTTGTGCTCAAAGATTTCTGTCCTATAACTTTTCTCCTAAATCTCCAGTACTTTTCCTCTTCAGGGTAATAGGACTTTCTGGAAGAGTCACCACACTACCTCTAGAATAAGCATAAAAAATTAACAGCATATATCCAGTTTTATGTGTTTCAATTCTTAGGCAAAGAACAAATTTTTAATGAGAAGCTCCATTTGAAATTTATTTTATTCTTTCTAACAGATACCTAAGAGAAGCATAATGATCCATTTAGCAAAATTTCCCAGGTATTCCTTTAAGACAGAAAATCATAGGGTGTGTTTACATCAACCAAAGGAACTAAATTTGCTCAACAAGTGATAAATAAAAATTGCAGCAAGTTGAACTAAATTATGCAAATTAAACTAGAACATAGTCAAAGTCATTGGATTTTACATTTTGGAAGGAATTTAGAGAATATCTAGTGGGGAAAAGACCTTGTTTATTATTTAAATTTTACTTTTGAATTGAATTTTTCTATTTAATTCAGTATTTTGGACATATATGTGAATATACACATACATTTGTACACACATTTCCATTATAAAAGATACATATATTTGTGTGTATGTGTATATATATGTGTCTAAGACCCCATATATTCATTTATGTATTGATCTTGAATAATGGAAATTTTTTCTGAAAAACAAACTTCCCCAGTCATACTTTCATTAGAAAAATATGTCAAAATTTGTTGATTTAAGTCACCATTAGGAAGCAAGATTTATTCTTTACTTTTTTTTTTAACAACGTACAAAGTAATTTGAAGTAGACTATAAAACTGATTTGAATAACACAAAGGAAATCCATGCCAGAGTCAATTATTATTCAGAGTTTCTTTTGTGGTGTTGATAGTAACAATAATGATAACATTCCAAAAGTGCATAATTTCTTAAGGAGTTGTTTCTGAAAAACTACAATATTTTTTTGAAAATTACAATTTTAAATTTATTTCTAATAGTTCATTGGTATAACTTTAAAATTTATGATTGATTCAAGAACTTTTTGAATGAATTATCCCAACAATTTCAAAATGGTTTGGTAACTACTTATGAGAACATTTAACATTTAACATATAAATGAGAGGCTTCCTTCTTGAAAAAAAAAATCCTGATAGAAAATTAATTTCTCACCCATACACCAGTTATTTCAGAGGTTCTTAATCTTTTTGCATGTAGTGGACCCCTTTAATAATCTGGTTATGTTTATGGATCTTTTCTCAGAATATTGTTCTCAAAAGCATAAATTTACAAAAGAAACCAAACGTTGTTGAAAATAAATATGTAATTTGTTTCCCATTCAAGTTCACAGACCCCTGAATTCTATCCTCAGACCATCCCTGCTGTCTCTGAGGTGAAGAACCTTCATATCAAGAACTCCTGAGCTCTGTAAAAAACCCTAACCAAGAGAAAAACAAAAACAAAACAAAAACCCTGTTGTTTGCTTGTCTTTTGTCAAGTAGGCATTTATGGTAAGAAAGCTAAAATACTTAACTATGTCATATTTAAGGGAGGTCATGTGCATCGTGACTTCCTACTGACAGCTATGCCCTGCTGTCTTCTTTATTAGAAAGGAAACTATTCGCTATGAGCTTGCACAAACACTTCAAGGTAAGAGCCAGAGAAAATGAATAGAGTTTGATTTCTATAACCAAACAAAGTGCTAGGGAGCTTGATGAGTATCATTTCTTCCCTCACCCAATGCCCTAGCCCAGAGGAGTGAAAAATAGTAAGTGCTCTTTGGGGTTTACTCTATGCATTTTGTCCTAATAACATGAAACCAAATCTTCAGACTGTAGTTAAATAATTTGCTCAAGGTCAACCTTCTATTTCTTCCTAAGAACCTGCTTTCTATTTTTCAAATATAATTATTTTTCTTCCCTCTACCTCTTTTCTTCTCCTATCCATTTCAGGCACCAAATGGTCTCCCAGCCGTCAGCAGTTTTGTGTCAGCATCCAGCATGGCTCCTTATCCCACCCCAGCCCAAGTGCCACCTTATATGACGTACAGTGCTGCTCCTTCTGGTTATGTTGCTGGACATGGTTGGCAACATGCTGGCAGCACTCCACTTTCCCCCCACAACTGTGACATCCCAGCATCGCTGACATTCAAGGGCATGCAGACAGCCAGAGAAGGTAGTCACTCTGTTACAGCTTCTGCTCTCTGATATGAAGTTCAGTTTGGAACAACTTCACCCCAACCTGTTTCACTCTGCATCAGTCAGTCCTCTTCCTTCCCCCAAGGCCACACTACCCTATCTCTTCTATTCCCAAATCTTTCCCACTTCCTTTTCTAAATTCACATCCTTTGTGTTAATGACACATAGATATTTGTTGGCCTAACTTCTCTACAAAAAAGCTGAAATAATTTTAGGATTTAAATAACAGAAGCAACATTAAAGAATGGAGACATTTTCTGTTGCCCACACAGTGTTTCTACTTGTGGAAGAAACCTGTATCCCTCAAAGGGCTCAAGAAACTTTTTTGATTTCATTGGTAAAACCACACGTGTATATTTATTCTAAATCAACCTGAACTTTTAAAATGTGCAATTTGTTGTTGAGGTTTGTGAAAATCAATAAAGAAAAATAAACATAGAAAAAAGTTATGCTATACCTTCTAATCAACCAAGGTGACTGAGTAAGCTTTGATTCACAATTTATCCACCTAGAGAACAAATCAACAACTAACCTGTTTGAATGAACCAATTTATTTTAACAGATGACAATGAGGGTGCGAGTGGAATTGTATGTAGAACCAAGACTATATCTCAATTGTTCCTTCTGGTGTTTCAAACTGGTTCCAAAGGCATGATTGTTTATATTTTCTATCACTCTGTAAATATAACTTTGGGTAGCACTTGTGTTTTTGTGTCTTGGTACTTTGCTATTCCTCTATGTCCCCACCAATCTTCATACATTTTAGAAGAAAATTTTTTTAAAAAAAAAGGTGACTTTCTGGCAATCTCTGACTTTGGTGGTGGGCTACTCAGGCACTGGGAATGTGGACTCCACACCCCACCACTTTTTGTGTATGCGGTGAAGGCTTCAACATCTCATGAAGGACATTTTCTTCGTACAGCAGAGGAATCAAAAGGCAAACAGGACAAGTCATTTTCCCCTACTGTACCTTAACTGAACTACACACATGCCAAGCATAAAATGACAAGCAGGTGGAATATATCTGAACAATAACAAAAAACTGTAGAGGAAGTCACTTAGAAGCTTAAGTTTAATGTGAAACAAAATGCAAAGACAATTTTTTACAATGAACTTAAGTTAAAAGAAAAACCACTGTGAAACAAAATTGTACTTTTATTGTTGACTTACATGTATGTTCAGCAATTTCAGCTCAAAATTGTGTTGTAATTTAAAGAAAATGGAAAGTTTGGTTCTAGTGAATGTAAAAATGGCTTGCTGTGAAGTTTACATTGTTATACAGGAGCATGTTTCACTTACAGGTAAACTGGTGGTGGTACTAGACATACAAATGCTACTTAATTTTTAACAAATTCCCTTTACTAATTTCTGGATTCACAGGAAACTTTTAATTGCTAAATCATTCCATCTCAATTATATTCCGATTTAATGTTAATTACAGAAAATATATATATGTGTGTGTGTGTGTGTGTGTGTGTGTGTGTGTGTGTGTGTGTTCATACATCTTAACTGCTTTCTTGGGCAAAATTCTACAGGATTTTTTTCTGTTGTTTAGAAACTTCTTCACATGCTTGAAATTGAAAGCATGAAAATGATTTGGTATCTTTTTTAATTGGCAAAATTCATTTATTAGAATGCTAATATATTGTGGGGTTTTTTGACTTGTGCAATAACTAAAAGGGTATGTCACTAGATATGGATGTTAAAGATTACATTCACAAAATAATCTTGATTTCTACCTTTCTATGTTATACACAGCTTACATGGCAATTCAGTTCTTGCTACATCAATTTCATGGCCTCATCTTAAACCCAGATAACTAGATTAGCTAATTTTTTCAAATCATTCTCACAAAAACAATAAGCAAACTCCCCACAAAAATCATGACCAAGGAAGTCCTTTCCCTCCCCCACCCCATTCAAGCAGCTGTCTTGTAGCAGTCAAAGCAACCTAACTTCTATGCTATAAACAGGCTTATAATTTCAGGAGTACGAGTAAGCAAAAGGAGCAGTTGAATTCTCAGGGCTTCCTTTGATCTTGTTAAGCTGTTATTGACATCTAGGAGTTTCAAGTCTAGTGAAAAAGTAGACTATAAACCAAAAGAATGAGAGGTGCCAATCCAATGTTTTGTGGACACTTTAAAAATTGTCCAAAGAGGGACTTTTCTGCCTGTCAGGAAAAAAAAACTGACATAGGTAATAGAATTAGAATTACCATTGTCAAATGTTTTGCAGAGTTTTCTAGGTAAATATTGCTAATTGTTACTGGGCAGAATGAAACCAAATATTTTTATTTCCTTTTTTTCCTGTTTTAAAAAGTCTCTTGTTATTACGTTATTTATAATAATTTCTTCTGGTTCTTGTATTTTTTTTAATATGGAAAACTATTTTTTTTTGTCGAAGAGTTTAACACCAGAGAATTCACATGGTGTAAATTGAAAATGACAAAGCAAACCCCAAACATTATTTGTTATTGGAACTATCTCACAACTTGAAGTCACTCAAAAAACTAGAAAGGAAGGGGAATGCAGTGAAGTTTTTGTTTGATTATTTTGTTTATTATCATTGACATATCCTCTCTGTTTCCCAGAGGGTAAAAGTATTCTTTTTAAACTGGCAGATATAATCTTTAGATGTATTTTTCCACACTTTCCATAAGGAGAGGCTAACACTTCAATTACATGGCCTTTATGCAGGCAAAGTCCTCTTTGATATAATTTGGAAATATAACCTGTGTAGCTAGAATGTAATTGGATCTTATTGAAGGCACATTCTCATTTTTCTTTGCATTTCTGTTTTTAATCGTCCTTTTATCAAAAGATTGGGCTGAAATATAATTGAAAATCATGTTGAAAAGGATGTACAACAGAAGGCTGTGTATGTATATAAGTATATTAAAAGCCTTTTATTTTTATATTTTGAATGCTCTAACTTAATAAAAATAATAATGACAATGTTATCTTTTAATTTAATTTTTAAAATATTTCTAACCAAAATTTCTTCAAGGTATTAGTTCACTCAGGTATAAGTGTTGTCTAGAAGGGGAAAATCTCTTTGCTGATTTAAGCTATGCTATACATCTATAACAAGATATTGTTATAGAATCTGATGCAGTTACATAAAAATCAAAGACATATTTTTATTAGTGCATGTTAATACAAGAATCTTTAGAAACACTAAGAATGCTTATTTATTCTAAACATTTTCACCTTCATGATATATCATAGACAGCAGACCTCACACCTGAGCTATCATTCAAGATTAATAATCAGGAATGTAATTTTGCTTTGTGCATTTTTCCTAATAATCTCATAAAAATTATACAAAAACCTGGACAATAAATAGTGGCTTTCATTTGTGATTTAGAATAAAATAGTTAGCAAGAAAGTAATTCCAAATATTTATTCAAAAAGGAGGGTTTATTGTATTAAATTTAATGTTTCCCAGTCAAGAATTTCTGACGTAATGATTTGTAAACTTGGTCCACTTTAAAGTTCAAAATAATATGATAACCAGTAAAATTTATATGTATATATATATATATGTGTGTGTGTGTTTATGTACACATACACATATATGATATATAATAGGAATATTCATATATTGCTATATTTATAGCATCATATCCATTCAGATTAATTATTTGAAACAGTGAAAGTGTTAGTCAATGGAATAATTAAAACCTTTCAAAATTAACTTTGGTATCACTATTTCAAAAACTTTTGTGTGATAAATGTCCATTTTCATGTGCTTAAAATATTTTCACAGTATTTTTAAAAATTAAAGTACTTATATAGAAATTTAATTAATTATAGAATATTTAAACAAATCAAAAAGCCTTGTTTTTCATATAAGCACTTAAGCACAGTTAATGGCAACAAAATTGTTTAATTTTCTTGTACATATTTTTCTTTGACTTTGTGTGATGAAGTAATTATTGGTATGGTGAAGATGAAATACGAATCGTGGCACCAAAATGTTATAGGATTCATTCAAGTTCCTATGAATATGGTGTCTACATGAGTATTCTCCCATTCTGATTACATATTTGTTCTAGATTACTTCTATCTCCATGGTCCACATGATATGATTGCAATTACAGTTTAAAATATATCCAGATACATATTTAAATAATTTCTAAATGTATTTGTTCTTGAGGAAAGTTGTTTTCTCCTTTATAATTTATATGCCTGTCAACACTAATATTAGATTCTGCTATGATCACTGTTATAGAGTAGATGTCCATTATCTCAAAGAAAAAAAAAGTTTCATAGGAAATCCTTGAATCACCAGTTTTCCTGAAGCCAATGATACACATATTCATAAGCCAAAAGCATCACTGCACCACCTGAAAAAGAAAAAAAAAAACATTATCATTATTCAATTCTTATGGTGTCTGGTATCTGGTATATGGTATATTCTTTTCTTTCCTGTCTTCCCGTGTCCCTCAATGCTTTGTTATATATACATGACATAATCATATATTATACCTTACATATGTTATCATAGAGGTCTCATAAAAATTAAGACCACATCAACTTTCATGATTTTTCATCAGACTTTTCAAACCATTTTTAATTTTAAAAAGTAAATAGAAACACATTTAATCATGTTAAGACATGGCCTGAATGCAAACACACATTTTTAGAATCTAAAACTACAATGCAAAAATGACTGATGCAGTTTAGAAGGGTATTGTTTGACACTTTATTTTTTAATCCTAAGATTTAGATAGAATGGAATAGAAACTATAAGGGAGGGGAGATGGAGGTTGGTTATTGATGATCCTGTATAAAATAATTCACAGACATGACAGATGCATGAGTGTTTTGAAGGGTGTACATTTTCTCTGATACTACTACAGTAATCTGAGGTGCTCAATGCTGCATTTACTTACACTCATGTAAAACTGTGTGAAAAGTTTCAGAAGTTTACACATATTTTGTACAGAATCTACATAACACTGGGGGACGGGGAGAGAGATGAATGATTTACATTTTAGGGAAGAATAGAACTAGATGATCTGAGTTATTTTATACTGCCACAGAATTTTTATAAAACTAAGGGCACATAACTATAAGCATACAAACATCCTTCTGTAACCATATACATAAGATAATTTTCATTTTTAGCTTATGAATAATTTTTTTCTACTAGATTCCACTCAACTGCAGCATCCTTTTTCTAGTATCAGCAAACTGAAACGATCACATTTCAGAGGTTAGAAATCTGTAATCTCTTTTTCCTCCATTATAATTATATGTTCACAATGGTAGCCAAGAACATGCAGAATTAGATGGCTCAGATGATGTTAAAAGATTAAACTATACCGGGCAGCTAGATGGTGAAGTGGTTAGAGCACCGGCCCTGGAGTCAGGAGGACCTGAATTCAAATCTAGCCTTGGACAACTGACACTAGCTATGTGACCCTGGGCAAGTCACTTAACCCCAATTGTCTCACCAAAAAGAAAAAAAGAGAGAGAGATTAAACTATGCACTACAAGATACTTTCTTTTGGGAGAAGGACCGAGTCTCTTAGCTACACAGCACCAATAATATTAAATTGAGAAGGAGTTGGATTGGATGCTTAAGCAGCATAGTAGTAAAGATAAACACTGCCCTAGGAATTAGATAGAAAGCCCTAATGTGAGTCCTGGTTTTTTCACTTAGTAGTTGCCCTAAAGTAGGATAAATCACTTACCTTTCTGGGCCTAATTTTCCTCATCTATAAGATAAAGTTCTTCATCTAGGTAATCTCTATGAGCATTTTGGTGATTCTTTAGCCTAGGAATACTCATGTAAATCCTATGTCCTTCCTCTCTCTTCCTGGATTAGAATCTTTATCTTTACCTCCAAACTTTCACACACAGCCCCCCTCTCCCCCCAACCTCTCATTTTAATTTTCTTTGAAATTGGTGAGGTTTGTACAATGGGAACAAAAGGGGTCAGACCTTTCAATAGGTATCCAGTCATTTAAAACTTTACTTAGGCTGAATAGTAAGTTGAGAACAATCTTCCTAATTAGTTTTAACACCATAGCAATTGTGAATACCTCATGGGAAAAAAAAATTCAAAGGCCAACCAAACATTTGCAAGCAAACTTGGGTTAAGATCATTTAAGAGTTTTGGATTAAGGTTCCACTCAATTACCACTTTAGCTAAACTCTCCCTGGTCACCACTGTCTTTAGGCCCTTTCCCTCCAGTAGGGACTATGATTTGTTCTAACATGAGGTCTTTTACTGGGTAGTGAAGGAAAATGTAGTGTACTTGCAAAGCAATTTTTAAAAAATCAACATTCTTTACTACTGTGTTAGTGTATGGAGTAGTAAAAGTAAAGCAGGTGGACCATATCCTGGCCCAAATCCATCTTCAAAAGCCTGTCTGAAGAAAAGGTTTAAGTAGAGATTTGGGGTGGGGGAGGGGAAGAAGCAGAGAAAGATCTTCCTAAATGGATGAAAATCCATCATGATTATTGATTACTGGCTTCTGGTCAGATTTGGAAGTAGTGAAAAATCAGATTCATAAGTGGAGACTCAAAGTTATTTCTCTTTTAATAGGGGTTATATGTTATAGGAAGAACACAACTTAAGAATAGAAGAGGGTATTGGAATAATTAATTTTATTACCAGGGTGGTTGAATAAATGAGTGTGGCCTGTTAACTAATATGTGTGGTCTACTGCATACTTTTGCACTTATTCACAAGGTTACATATAATCCAGAGCTATTGCCCAGGGTTGAATCCAGAGGAATAATATTATTGTCTATTTGCATAGGGATAGCTGACTTTCCCTGTGAGATATAACCACAGTTGTATGTGTGTTTATGTGTGTGTGTGTGTGTGTGTGCTTCACTCCTTAAGTAAAGAAAATCAAGAGTTTTCACACAGGTGTTCCTATCTAAAGACAGAGGCAAGGAAAGGTCATGTACCTATATGTATCAACTGAGAAAATACATATAAAATGCTTAACTTAAGGTGCTATATTATTATAAGGTGAATTATTATTATTATTTATCTTTATATTATTTATTATTATTTTATCATATAATTGTTAGTATCATTATTATTATTTAGGCTATTTGTAGGAAACAGAATTGTCATCTTTCTTAGGTTTGTCTTCTTTCTAAAGTTATGGTGACTAACCATGCTTTGGCTTATGAAGCTTTCTTGCAAAGAGAAGGAATACTTCTCTAAGGCAACTTGACATCTCTCCCTTTATTCCCCCTCTTCATCCTAACACTTTAAATGATTTTTCTTTGAAAAAGGAGGCAAGGCAGGACCGAAGAATAAACTGGGAGCAGAAGGATTTTCTTGATGGGATGCTTGTTTTCTTACAGAAGATTTTTCCTTCAGTGTGATGTCACTATATACCATAAGGTAGTCCAAGCTTGTGGGTTTTTCTGAGTTGTTGTTGTTGTTTTTTTTTTTTTGTATTTACTTAACTTGGTGTTTGGCTTCTATCAGGACTTCAGCAAGGTTATAAATATTTCTTTTAAAAAGGTAGACAACTATCTTAAAGATTCAGTAACAACTTTAAACCCTCAAGGTCTCTACTTTTTTTTTACTTGTTTTGGGGTGTGTGGGGAATTTTTATTGTGTTGGTGATAGATAAATTTTTTTAAAGACACCAGGAAAATAAAGAAGGAAGGATAGAAACAATGGAGACATCATTACCTGGTCCAAGTCTAATAATCTTGGGAAGCAAGCCTTTGTACAAAGCAAAAAACCTACAATCAGAAGGATTGAGAAACATTTTTATTCTGAAAACAAAATGGTATTGTCTCTAGATGCTAGCCCTGTACTTAAAAGTAATTATTTGAAATTACACATATCCAAAACCAGACAGTACCTGCCTAAGTGGCCTATGCAGTCATTTGGATGAGGAGAAAGAGTTAATCAATGCTCCATTACCAAATCTTTCCTGATCCTGTCCAATCAGAAACATGCCTTTCATCAGCAAGATGGTTTTTCCTTTCAGGGAATGTCTTATTTTCAAGACAGCTGTTACATGGGCAAAATGACTTCTATAATTGAATTTTTAAACCTCCAAGTCAATCCTTGCTTATGAGCAAAATGCACCATAATCAAAGTAAAAATGTTACTTTTTAGCTTCAGAGAGACATAAAAATTAGAAAGGCAGAGGAAAGGAAAGATTTCACAATTCAAAGTCATGATGAGCTCACATTTCTCACATTCACCCTCATAGAAGTATATGGGAAAGGTTATATTTTAGCTTGGTTTTCAGTCAAAAATTTAAATTTTCTGGCCTTAGCTTTAAAAAAAAAGCATTACTAAACATGATGTGAATTGACAAGTCAAAGGCTCATCTTGGGCCTCTCAGGAAAATATAGGCACTTGAGGTGAATAAAGTACACTGTACTACAGCAGAACATAAACTTTGATGGTGTCAGAACCCTTTGCAAACATCAGAGAATTCTCTCACTTTACAGTAAGTTTCTCAGATGTTGCATAGAGCTCCTCAATGCATGCACAAAGCAAAGGGCTTTATAGCCCTAATAAAAATGGAAGTAAAATACAGTTTTTACAATAGTTGAGCAAAAACATAGGCTTTTGCCATTATTAAAATAGGAATGTTACCCTTCTTCCTGATAGATCGTTGCCATTGTTTTAAAACAGGTTATATACTTGATCTCTCCAGGAACTGGTTGTGGCCCTTGAATCCTACTTTTGGCAACATCAAAAGGAATGTTAATGACTGAAGCTGTTATGCCAGAGAGAAGACCGATCCCAAATTTTCTCCAAAACTCCAAGATTGGATCCTAAAAGAAAAGAAGAATTAACCAACAAAAAAGGAAACAAAAGTCCCTAAATATGTTTAACACCATAAAGGAATATGTACCTAAATGGAAAACTCATACTGCCCAACTTGAGCACATACATGCTAGTCCAGAGGAACCCGTTAGGATTTCCTCGGCTGGAACTTGTTTTCTTGACAATCCCATTGGCTATGTTTTTACACATGGTCTAAATTGCTGAAGTACACATTTCCTCACACAGGATTTATAAACACAGTTCATAAAGAAAGACTGGCATGGCATATGGGGATGATTTGTATAATTGGGCTTCACAATGTACTTAGTATTACTGTATCAAAACAGGAGAAATCCAAGTGCACTATTAGCTAATTGGCCAGAATATTTTACAAATGACAGCAACTTCCACCATGAAGCCTACTAAAATGCTCATTTGTGTGTTGGACCCCCAAATGTTAAATTAAATAAAGGCTAATCTCAGTCTGCTGCTATTCCCCTCCAGGTTTTTTGCATTTATTTTCACGTGTAGCTGATCCACTGTACTAGGAAGTGCTAGCTTCCTGTTATTAACAAACCAACTTGGGACCACTGCAAAACAGCCTGTGACATTCTGTGCATTATAAACAGTAGTAGCAAGTCACTGAGGTAATTGGCTGAAGAATTTACAACACATTGTTTCTGAATCTACTCTTCCTTCGTGGCAAGGAAAAAGAAGAGAAAAAAGAAAGAAAAGAACAGAAAAAGAAACAAGAAAAAAGAAAACAAATGTTTAAAAAATTCTTCCTCTATTTGAATTTTGTTCCTTCAAATTGGTTTGATTTGATTTCCTTTAACTTTCTTCCCTCCCCTGGTATGCTTTCTGACATCAAAGTACTTAATTAGGGCTTATGTGGGAGTCACTTTCCTTCAGACAAATTCTTAGCCTATTTTTATGCCCAGCAGAGCTCACATTAAGTTCCTTTATAATGAATTTGCTGGGAAGTTCTGATAAGTTTTTTAAGCCCTTGTTCTTGCACTGCAAACTGGGTAACAATTTTTTTTTTTTCACAACACATCCCATACCTTCCCTCTAAGGCAATGATTGAGAAGACTCTTCATGTATTATCAGTAAACAGAGAAACAAATTGAGTTATGCCATGATATCACTCTATTAAACAGAAAGTCCTAAGAGAGTAAAGTGCTCCTGATTTCTGCTTTAAAAACAAAAAACAAACAAAAAAAGTTTAGCCATTGCATGTTTCCAGTATCTATAAAGGAGGATAACATCTGTGTGCTCTAAAAAATTCATTTAAACCAATATTCCTACCCTATGAAAATTCCTAAGTGGCTAGGAATATAAAAAGTGAAAGATTCTGTAAGACTTCTTGGAGCTGGGCCATACAGGTGCCTTATAGATTTAAAGGGATTTTAGAACCAACAGGGTGTTTCAACAGCAAAAACAATGCACTGATTGCAGCATGAGTGAAATGTGCTTAAATAATGTCTTTTCTTTTATAAGAAGAGAAAAATGCTTTCCTACTACCACTTTAATATTTTGGCAGCATGATGTAATCAAAAAAGTGCTAGACTTGGAGTCAGAAGACCTGTGTTTGAGTTGCAGTTCTGTGGCTTACTTACTTACTGTGTGACCTTGAGCAAAGCACAAGGTCTCTGAAGCTGTTTGCCTCTCTTTAAAATACCTAAATACCTACTCTGCCTATTTCTTAGGGTTATTGTATGGATTAACTAAGATAATAGATATGATATTGCTTTCAAAATTGTTTTTTAAGTATCTATTATACTAAAATATTTTGTGTAGTTATCCTTCGACAATATGAATTTTGTAACATTATATTAGCATTGGTCTTGCAAGAATGCCAAAGTATATTTCAAACAATCTCACAGCATTTGCATGACATTATAATAGCCTAACATTTTTATGGTGCTAAGAGAGACAGCAGAGTGAGATGAATAGAGTTCTGGACTTGGAGTAGAGTAGTACAATGGACAGAACATTGTCTCTGGAATCAAAAGGCCTAGGTTCAAATCCCATCTCTGATGCTTACTGTCTATGTGATTCTAAGTAAGTCATTAACAACCAAATCATCAAAAAACTCATTATCTAGAAATAAAATTAATGAAAACTTATATTTGCAGTTGTACTTTATAGTTATAAAGCTCTTATGTACACTTGAGCCAGATAATAAACTTTGAAAATATAGCTTAAATATCATTATTCCCATTTTACAGATAAGATTTGCATATTTATTCATGATGCTTTTTTAAATTAAAAATATTTTATTTGTTTCAGCCAGTGTTTTCACCTTCCCACACCAAACACTTCACTCTATTTGAAAACACAAGGAAAAAAACATTTGTAATTAATCCAAATAAATTTCCACATTGGCTATATCCAAAAAAATACCATAATTTGTTCATCTATTCCTCAATTTATAGGTACCTCCCAGATTACCATCCTTTGACATCTCAAAAAGAGTTGTAAATAGATTTGTATATCCCTAGTGTTTTGTTTTGTTTTTTGTTTTTTTGTTTTGCTTAGCACTTAGCACAAGGAAATAGGACAAAAAGGGGAGAAGGGAAGAGGAAGAGGAGGAAGAGAATTTAGAGGGAGGAAAGAATAAGGGTGGTAATGGAGATGAGGGATGCCAAGGCCAGAGGAACTAATGCTTGTTGTGTTTGGACAAAGTAAACCTTCCTTTGCTCAATGAATTACAAATGCCTCATTTTATTCTAATATTGAACTTCAACTAAGAGGGAACTGGGGTTAGAGCACCTACAGCAACTTTATAATACCAATTGGTATTCCTCTTTGCCCTCTGGTTCTAAGAGATCTAGGCAATTTTCTTTTAAGATTTCTTGAAATATGATGTCTAGCTTCTTTTTTTGGTCATGGCATTCAGATGGTTCAATTATTCTTAATTTTTTCCTTCTTAATCTGTTTTCCAGGATGTTTTTTTTTTTTTTTGGTAAGGTAATTGGGGTTAAGTGACTTGCCCAAGGTCACACAGCTACTATGTGTCAAGGGTTTGGTCTGAGCCGGATTTGAATTCAGGTTCTCCTGACTTCAGGGCTGGTGCTCTATCCACTGTGCCACCGAGCTGCCCCAGGAAGGTTGTTTTTGTTCTGAGATATCTTGATAGGGTAGGCTCAGCCACACTTCTGAAGAAAAGGACTGGGCTGGTCTTGTTGCTGTTTTCTTGGGGTCTTGAGTGTTGTGTTATTCCAGGATTTTGGGGACAAGTTAGGAACCTCAAAATGGTCTGATTTAGGGTAAAGTCTGATTGCTACTTCCCTGTTCTGAGGTCTGCAAATTCCTGGACTGTGTTTGGGTCAGCGCAAGAACAGACTGCTGGACTCAGCCCCTGTTAGCCAGCTCAAAAGCTCTGTGGATTCAGAGCCACAGAACTGTAGGCTCCCCTTTGAGCTGAGATTCCTACCTCAGTTATTTCTTTGTATTCTGGGTTAGATGCTTTAAGTAAGACCCTGGGATCTGAATCATACTGCTACTGCTGCTTGCTTCTAGACCTCCTCCTTTCTCAGTTCACTATCTGTGGCCTCCCTACCCAGGAACTCTACCCCTCTATGCAGGTCCTGTTTTCAGTCTGCGCTGAATTTGTGACCTGCTGCTAGGTAGTGGGTGACAAAGCTGCCAGCTGGCACATGTTTGAAACCTCTTCTTGCCCTGGTATGAAGTCTCTCCCTGGGTGTTAGAGTATTCCCAGTGTGCTTTGGGAAGACCCCATCCCCAGTGTGGATAGGCTTCCCTATCTGTCTCCCTATGCTGAATGGGGCTGGACAAATGACTCACTGGGACTTTTTCTGGATTTCCTCGTCAGAATTTGGTGTAGTGTATTTTTATATCTGGTTGGAGAAGTTTGTGGAGTAGAGTTCACCTCATTGCTCCCCACCACTCTGCCGTCTTGACCCCAACTTCCCTGACCCCCCACAGTGTTTTGTTTTGTTTTTTACAATTATCGATGTCTTTTGTTTTTGACACCACAATCATTTTGTGTTATGTACCACTATTGTCCCTACTCCCACCCCTAAAGAACACTCCTGTATTAAAAAGAAAAAAAAAGTCAAACAAAACCAGATGGACATAATGATCAGTCTATGAAAGTGTGCCACATTTGACATCCATAATCTGCCTTGAGAAGAGGAAGGCTATAAAATATTTTCAGACAGCCTCATAGTCAGATTAGGTAGATCAATCAATAAACATTTGTTAAGTGCCTACTATGTGCCAGAAAAGGAAGCAGATTGTCAGAGAATCATTCCTATGGTGATAGCAGGAGTTTGGAGAAGGAGATCATTTATTTTTAGAAAGCTTAGGAAAGGGTTTCAACCTCTAGGTCACTAATAGTCATTCCAAAAGTTATGTTTTTTTCACTTATTACCCATTACTTAATTTGTTAACATGGCATATCTAGGTCTGTGATCCAGAATTAAGATGGTTTTGTAAACTTTGTTGCTGTTGGGTTGTTTCAGTAGCATCTGACTCTATATGACCCCATTTGGGGTTTTCTTGGCAAATCTTACTAGGGTGGTTTGCCATTTCCTTCTCCAACTCATTTTACAGATGAAGAAACTGAGACAAACATGGTTAAGTGACTTATTCAATGTCACACAGTGTCTGAGGCCAAATTTGGACTCAGGAAGATGACTCCTAAGTCCAGGCCCCATATTCCATCCATTGTTCCACCCAAACATTTTTTACACTTGCCAAATATGCCCTACCTCAAATTGGGCATATGTCAAGGGAAATGAAGATAAGACTTGATTTCTTATTATTTTTCCTCTCCAAACTAATAGTCTTCTCTGGAAATGAACATATACACATCAAGTTAGAGGGAAGTATCTAGTGAAATGCTCTCAGCCTTCAGGCATCCTCGGCTTTCTGCTTGTCAACATTTTTATCAACAACTTTAATAAAGGCATAGATAGTGTACTTACCAAATTTGAAGATAACACAAAGTAGAGAGATATCATAATAGATGAAAGTGTCA